CAATTTTACTTGTCTCAACTCTATCTTATACAAAACTAGTCTATTTCTTTCTGGAGGTGCAAGGAAACCTAGAAATGACACTCCTGACCTAACTGTGATAAAAAATATGTAGTATTAGAAAAGTGGGTCAAGCATTTTATCATTTACAAAACTAGGTCAGGTCAGCATTTTTCCAAAACCTTCTACTTGTACATTCATATGTACCACTATTATCTCTTGAAATGGAAACCACAGATATGCAAGGATAAATGTAAGCCTGATATATGTACACACACACACCTATCCCATTATCTAAGATACGAGACTCAAGGTGATGAAAAGATTTCTACTAAAACACAGAAATATTAATCATTTCTTCTGGCATATAATTTAAATCTTTGTTGCTTACTAGAAGATAGCACTGACTTTGTACCAAACAGACCAAGTTATCTTGGTTTAATCTGAAAGAACTGCTGTTTAGATATTAAGAATATTGTCACCTGTCTCTCACCTGTCTCTCAGCACCAGTGGCAACTAAACATTTATATTGCTTAATGAGGTAATTCAAGTATATAAACTTGTTTTGGATAAATCAGCATCTCTACTTATCAGTTTAGTTTCATTTGTAAAATGAAGGGGCTGGGCTAATAACCACTCTCTCATCAATCCTGTTTCAAAAAGGTAGAGAGCCCTTCTTGACTTGCTTTCCATTACAAAGAACAATTTTCATGGCTATGAATAAAGCTACAGTTCAGAGAAGCCCTTCACCTGTTTCCCACTGGCAACACTGGTGATTTGCAGTTATTTGCATCTTATTGTTGTGGTACCTCCAGTGCATTCACTATATTTGTGCAGCTTAATTTTGGAGCTATATTATGGATACCTCTGATCTAAACAAGAAAGATGTCAGAGGTGTTACTAAGTGAAAGCAATCATAACAAATAATGGACTATAAAAAAAAAAAAAACACACTAGTTCATGTGTCCTAAGAAATGATTTGACAAGATTTAAGGGCAAAGTGCAAATCCTATCAGAAATAAAAGTACTGTAACAGGGCTTTCCCTGGTTGCGCAGCGGTTGAGCGCTGGGCTGCGAGGCTGCCTGCAGCCTCCGCAGGGCGGGTTCATTCCCTGTCTGCCAGCGAGGGTCCCACAAAAAAAAAAAAAAAAAAAAAAAAGTACTGTAACCATGCATTTGCAAAAGACAAAAACTGATAAAATGTAAAAATGTCTGTATATATGGACTTATATGTGGCATGAACCCTGGTTGTTCATTAGGAATCACTTGAAGCTTTTAAAAACAATCAACCTCTAGAAATTTGGATTCAAATTGATAGTACATCTATTGATTCTCAAAGCTACCTGGAAGTTTTTACTTGCAGTTACAAGCCACTATATCGGCTCCCACATCAAACACCTTATTTAGCCTACTGAAATGGTTAAACTATATGGAAGGAAAAATGTCAGTCTGTATATGAATGCAGACATACCTATCCCATTTACCTAAGATACATGGGTTTATGAGGTCAAAACTACTATTATAATATTGATACTTCACTTTCTATTATAATGCCATTTGTGTTCATAGTACAAAGCAACAGTAACAACAGAATTATCATCTTAACTAACTCCCTCTACCTACAACCATTGAGGCATACAAATCTTGCGTTTATTCTTTAATCTCCTGTGGGATTATTGACATTATTTTAAAGGGTTCAAGATTTGGTAACAGAGCTGTTGTTTAAAATTTAGCTTCATTATTTATAAGCAGTGTGACTGTGGGCAAGACAAGGAATTCTTTTGCACTTGTTTCTATTATCTGGTGTACTGCCTTTGTTCCTAAACTGGTCTCCAGATTTTAATCTCCCTGTATTTAAACATACCTGCCACATTGGCTTGCTAAAATATGGCTATTCTCCTTGCTTAAAAGCCTTTACCTTACCTGTAAGCAATTCAACATCATCAAAATACAGAATCCTTGGTATTGAACAAATCCCTTCAAGACTTGGCCTTAATCTTTCTAGTCTCGCATCCTTCTACTCTGCTTAACTTCTACTCCTGCCACAGAACCTCCAAGCAGCTAATCAACTTCATTCCCTTTATCTAGCTAAAGAATAGAGAAAGCAGTTCCAGTTCTGGCCAATGACTCCTCTCTAATGCCTACTATTAACGTAAGTCAAATGTATTCCTAGTAGTCCCCAGTCAGATTACTTCTTCCTCTGTTTCTAATGTTTTTTACTTGTCCCTGCTTCAAGTTAGGGAATATATTTCATGCCCTTTCTCTGATACTCAGTTTAACTACAATATGTTGGCAATAGCTCCATTTGATCATTAAACGACTGTATTTATTAAGTCAGTTAACACACCAAAAGAGGAAGAAATAAGTCCCTCAGGTTAATAAGCAAGGTAAGGATGGGAACTGGGAATGATTCTGACTTTCTTTGGCTAAGTCTAAAAGTTCATGTTCTTTCCACTATGTATACACTATCTTTTTTATGTCATTTTTTTTCTATCAATTTACTTAACAATCTACCCCACTGGATTGTCAGATACTTGAAGACACTTATGATGTTATACATGACTACATCCCAGACTCTCATTCATCCAAATACTAACTCTAATACTAATTCTGTGACATAAAAGATTTAAAGACCTAGCCTCTACTTGCCCACCTAGAGGGAAAATGCAGACAATGCTCTATTGCTGTTTTATTTGTGTGTGTGTGTGTGTGTGTGTGTGTGTGTGAGATAAATGTAATGCTAGAGGGATACTGAAGTTATATACATATGGACTAGGGATGCCCAAATTGAATACCTAAAGGGAGCAAAAGAAAACAGAAGAGGCAGGAAAGCAGGGACAGATAAGAATTGAACAATTCATGGATTAGGAGAAAACAATGCTGACACCCGAAGCTCACAGAGAGCAGGAATGAAAAATTAATCACCTGGCCATTGTCCTATCACACACCTGTGAGTGTCATACTATATTTGACAGCAATAAATCACTAAGATACATTTTATCCTCATTAAGATGTCCTCTATTAACAACAGTATGAAGATTTCTGGCATTGGGACATTAAACTAAGTTTGAGTTCTGGCTTCACTATTTACTAGGTAAGCTGCCCCAGGCATGTCAATCTCCTAGTGCCTGACACTTCCTTAGCCTGCAAACATCTATTCAGAAGTTTTAAGATTCTGATTTTTGGAACAGTCTGGCACATTACAAAAGCTAATAAATGAAAGCCACTGTTGTTACTTTTGAAAAAAACAAAACAAAACAGCAAGACAGTTCAAATGTCACCTAAAATATAGTACAATAAATCTGATATAAAGAGGAATATACCTGTGACTTGTAATATTTGTAAACTAATTCACCTTTTTAGGAAGATATGTAATAGTCTCTCTACCCTTTTCAAACTGAAAAAGAAATCTAATTTTCTAAATTAACAGCCTACTGATGACACTCTTTAAGAACAAGTGTATCCATTCAATCATGGTACGTGTGCCAAGAAATTGGAGAGGATCCGTTGCCAGGGAAGGAATAATTTGCCACCTCCTCTATAAGTCGCACACTTCTCCAGGGAAGAGACTGTGACTTATGCCCCCCACTTATTCTCAAAATAGCTGGCACAAAGCTAGCAACACTTAATGAGATTTCCATTAAAAGTCTAAGGTTTTGTGTTGTATGGGATTCTGCAAGACTTCTGAAAACACAAGCTCAGCAAATTTTCACTGTAGAGTTGACTCTTTAGGTTTTAGGGGTCATGGTTGCTTCAGAAACAACAACAATAAGGGCCTCCCTGGTGGCGCAAGGGGTTAAGACACAACCTATGAAGCTGTCCGCAGGCTCTGCAGCACAAGTTCAATCCCCAGCTGGCCAGGGAGCAACCCACATGGCGCAGCAGACCTCTCCTGACTCACCACTACTCCCCTCAGCAGTGTATTTCAGTCTGCCTGTTCTGTTTCCCATTCTGTGTCTGGTGAATCCTCTCACACACCCCCCGCCACACCTCTGGCCTGTACCCCAGCTCTTGTATGCATAAATAAATCTTTAATTAAGAAAAAATACTATAATAAAAGGCATACAACTTTCCCCCAGAAATATGCTCATAAATGCAACATGTGGCATGTGAATTTTATAAATTCACCATCAGGGACAGGTGTACAAGCTGCTGACACTTATCACAACAAAGGTAAAGTGCTTTCAGACACAGCTTGGGGTATTTTACTATTGCTCCATGTCCTATTATTATTACGTGTCTTCTGCCTATGCTGTCTTTACCTCTTTTTCTCAGCCAGAAGATGTCTCTCTTCTGAGGACTTTAGTGACATGTCAAACTTTTCTCTGAGAGAGAAGCAAACTATGAAAAGAATCTGCAATAACACAAAATAACACAAACAATCTTAATAACCTGTGGGGCGGGAAAGCCTAAGGCCAGCACCCCTCCAACAAGTACATTAAGCTCCTAGAAGAGAAACCACTTCTGCAGAGAATTCCAGGCATTCAAATCTTAAGTGTGTAAAGCAGCATCATTAAAGCTGAGAGAATGGCCAAGAGGCTGAAAGGGCCAAAGATTCAACAGGTGAAAATGAAGGAATGGAGTGTGGAATTAAAAACAACAAACATTAGGGTTAAGACCCAAAGGAAGACGAAATACAATTAAAAACAAAGAAGAAACTCGAGCTCTAGTCCTCCAAAGGGTCAAAGACCAAAATCTATGCAACCGATCGATTAAGCCAAACCGGACAATTTCTATGAAACAAGTCTGGCCTCTGCGGGAGTAACCGGGCTCCACCACCCTGGGGTCTTTCCTGGGCGCTCAGCCCAGGTAGGGAACTCCCTGGCTGCGAGAGCAGGGGCCACATGGTCCCGGGCCTGTGCCTCCCCCGAGCCCCGTGAAAAAGAAGTTAGTGCCAGAGCCCCCCGGCTCGCGGGTCAGGGCCATCGCTCAACCCTCCAGCCCCACTTTGGGCTCACAGCCCCTGAACATTCCTGCCGCGACCCCATAACCCCTATTCTTACCATAGTGAGGCCGGCGAAGCCCCAGCCACATCACCCTTCCGGGCCCGGGGCGGAAGGAGCGTTCAAGCCCCGCCTGCCCTTCTTGCTCCCTCCCGCCGTCGGTTGGACCTGGCGGAGGACCGCCTCCTGAGCCGCGCGATTCGGGCGCTCCTATAGGCTCTTCTCTGTCGGAAAAGGCGGGGTTAGATGGCGTCACGAAGCCCTGCGGAAGTAGATAGTGCTCTCATTGGCTACGAGACATCTTTCTCCCGGAGCGGGCCTTTTGGAGGAGACCGGAAGTGGAATCACTAAGCGGTAGGTCCGGAAGTGGGTGCTTCGCCTTTTCAGTAATAGTTGCCTGTAGTTCTCTTCATTTTTTGTTTTCTTACTGATTTTATCCCTTATTATTTCCTTCTAGAATCCGCAGTGCGCGGATTTTTCCCAGCTTCTGTCCCCCTCCCGCAGCCCTGGTAGATTGTAAACTCCTGGGCCTTCCGTTTGTAGACTGTAAGGAGGCACCGGGACTTCCTGGCCTTACCCGCAGGGCCAGCCCCATCCCCCTTTATTTTGCACCTTTCTTTTGGAATGCAAGGCGCCTTTGAAATGCTCTGTAATGGTTGTGGTATTAGCAGTACACTTGGCTTGTGTGGAGTGGGCTTCTTGATCTTTTCTCTAACACCAGCTTGCTTTCTTCCACCCAATCCAGTTTTTTTGGAAACTGTCCATGGGTTTCAAGAGACTGAAGCATACTAGGCTTTGGTGTCTGGAAAGAACTTTCTGTAGTAACGAGTGCAACCAAAATACTCTGTGTCAATGCAGTTGTCCAGTCCTCTAGAGAAGTAGTCCAATTTCGAGACAAATTACATAGCAACTTTTTCTCGTAATCAGTGTTATTGTTTAGCTTCCTCTGATTTTAATAAACACATTGATGAGTCTGTTTCCTTTTTTTTTGTCTTTTAATATTTTAGATGGAGAAGTAGGCGACTTGACTTACTCAGTTTGCATAGTTATTTGGCATTATTTATGAGTTGGCAGAGAGTTTTTCACTGTGTCGACGTTAAGTGTAGCAAAAAATTTTGGCAACCCTTCTGCTCAAAATGAGTTAATTTTTTCTAGGGACTGGAAGATTCTTTTCAGGATGTTAGCAATTTCTTTCGATACTTTGACTCAGTGGATATGTTATAGGAGAGGGGCAGCCCAAACCCCGCAAACCTGCCTATTCTAAATGGGTTCTGCCATCCGCCGCGTCAACACAAAACATAGGAGACTTTAATGGGAAGGAACTTTAATACAACTAGGAAACAATAGGAAAAATGGTTTAAAAGTAGATTTAATTTGCAAACTTTTGCTATGCTGTTAAAGTTTGGGATCAAGTTTGACAAAATTTGTGTTTTTCCATAAGTTGAACCATTTTAACATTTTTTTCCCTGTGATTTTGATATATTTGCTGTCTTGTTTTAGCTAACGCTCCAATTTTTTTTTCTTTTGGCTGGTATAATGGACTATTTTTCAGAATGTAAAACTATCATACTGGACATTCATATACAATGCTGCTGACTAATTGTTGCTTCTCTTACACACATTGTAACCCTAAAAAAGACTATCTCCTAAGACTACACCCTGAGATTGTGCCACCATAGATATGGTGGAATAAAAATTAAAAGGGGGGATTGCAACAGGGTGGTCCCCAGGAAAGGGGGAGGTTCCCTGCCCCACCCAAGGGAGGGTGGAGCTGAGCAGGAAGAGGAGAAACTGAAGAAGAGACTGAGGAAGGAAGCAGGCTGGAGCAAGGAGACCTGGAGGAGGCGCATGGAGCCTAGAGACACGTGAAGAAACTGCGCTTGTCTTTTGGTCCTGGACTAGGTGACACAGATGTGGGTGAGACCCGTGGGGAGGTGACAATGGCAGCTTTTATCTTGATGTTGATTTTGCTCTTTTCCTTCCGGGCTTGTCCAGTTGTTTCTGACCCTTTTCTGTGGGTCCCCACTGGAAGATGCTTTAGACTTGTGGCAGGCCTTGGGGCCTTGCTCTGGGCCAGTCCCATTTGGATGGACTTTTACCCACGAGGGGATGGGTAACTTTGGGTGCTTCATTTAGAAACTAGATTCTTTGCCTTACCTGTGTTGTTTCCTAGTTTTATTAAAGTTCCTTCCCATTAAAGTCTCATATGTTTTGTGTTGATGCGGCAGATGGCAGAACCCATTTAGAATAGGCAGGTTTGCGGGATTTGGGCAGCCCCTCTCCCTGTCCTATAACAGATAGAGAGAGAAAAAAGGAAGGGAAACTCATGAGATATTGATTTATGTCTTACAACGGGCCAAATTATGAGATTCTATATTTAGGTCTACTATATTTAGGTCCACATAGGGATTTGTACATTGGGATTTCTGCTGTGATTACACTGTTCACTACTGCAGGCATAGTTTGCTAAATAACTTTTTTTTTTTTTTTAAAGAAATGAGCTTTTTTTTTTTTTTTTTTTAAAGATTTATTTATTTATACAAGCACGGGTACAGTGAAAAGTTGCGGGAGGGTGAGAGAATTCACCAGAGCCAGAGGGTAGAGCAGAACAGGCAGACTGACGAAGTACACTGCTGAGGGGAGCAGCGGGCGGCAGGAGAGGTCTGTGGGCCATGTGGGACCCTCCTCCTGTGACCAGGGATTGAATCAGCGCTGCAGAGGCTGCGGGCAGCTTCGCAACCCAGCGCTCAACCGCTGTGCCACCAGCGAGGCCTGCTAAATAACTTTTGAATCTGCTAAATTATCAAGATTTAGCCAAATGTATGGATATAGCAAGTATTTACCGAACGTTTTTCATTGGATCATGAAAGTGCAGCAGAGGAACAAAAGTGGGCTGTTTCTTCCAGTACTAAATGGACATGGGGATAAGAAATGTATAAAAATATAAGGTAGCCTCCTATCAAAAACCTGTATAATGCTTTACATTATACCTTAGAAATCTTGCCATACAATTAAATATGGCTTAGTTATGGAAATTATGTTGTGCAGCTCATCAAGCTTGGCTTGTAACATAGTAAATAGTCTGTAGACATTATTTTATTTCTTTATTTCTTTGTGAAGATGATCTTGATCATTGGGAACACTTCAGGGTGAAACTTCTGTATGAAACTACTTCAGGAAACCTATAAAGGTAGAAATCACCATTTACTGTATTTATGGATTATATTAATTTTAATGAGTTCTAAAGTCCCTCTGCTTTAAAATAATGAAGAAAATATACAAATGCTTGCTTGTTCTTTTTAAGATACTAATAGAAGAATACAAATGGCACAGATGAGCCTGAATATATATATATATATATATATATATATATATATGTTTTATTCATGTAATGGCAAAATTAATCTAACATGCGGTAAGATTTGAAGGGAGGTGTTAATTGAGTGACATGGTCATTAAGCACATAAACACTCCACTCTTGGTTTTAACTGCAAATGATCTAATTTAAGAACATACTATCTTACATTGCTATTTCAAAAGTCTCCTTTCTTGCAGCTCTGCTATGGGTTCTCTTTTCAAACTATCTTAAATCATTTTCTTACTGCAAATAGACTGTGTCATTTGTTTCTCAAAAATTTTTTTCTCTCCTGCATTTGTAGGCTATTGTCAACTTTGGTGTCATAAGTTCCCTAGCATTGTATGTAAAAGTAGTGCATATTTTTCTGTGGAGAGAGTGCACAGGCTTCCTCAGTGTTGTATTAAATGAGTTTAATACAAGTAAATCATCTACGTATTTGCAGAAAGTACTTAATGAGCATTTTGTGCATACTTTCATTTTCACTAAATTATAAACCATTGAGGGGAGACGTTATGATGGTGGGAGATTTACCTGCATGTTTAACCCTCACCAAAAGATTTTGAATTGAATTGGTATTGCTTTTATGCTATCAGACCACTCTCTCCTGCTTTTTTGTCTTTTCACATTGTATTTACTGTTGATAGTCTTGAAGGTTTTCTTTTATTTATGTGATATTCACAGATATTAAGAGACAATAGTTATACTTTTGCTTTCTGAACCTCAGCCAGCTTCCTTCATCTGAGTTTGAGGTTCCTTGTGTTTCAGTGTTTTTCTCTCCCTTCTCCCTGCCCATTTTTTAATTATTTTCTCTTCAAGGTGCTTTGATTATTTTGTGTGATTTGTGTGCTAGTCTTTTTGTTAGTGCCTGACAGAGGAGTGTCCACGGGTCCCCAAACTTGCATGCTCTAAAACTGGGTTATGCCTTTTGCTTCATAAATACAAAGGTAGTGAGCTCAGTGGGACAGATCTTTAATAGAATTAATATGCATAGGGAAGAAAGAGAAGACTTGATATTAATAGTTTCCTAATAAAACACCTCAGTTTACCCATTCCTTTCTGTGCAAATGCCCAACCCATAAGGTCAACCTGAAATGGAGCTTCTGACGCTGTGAGTCACAAGTCCACGGAACCTTCTAGAAACTAACCATAGGAAAATGGTTCTAAAGCAGGCCCTAGATAAAGGAGATATCACATCAAGATAACAACTGCCATTTTCATTGTCTCTCACCCTCATCTCTTCCATGTGCCTCCTTCCCAGCAGTACCAGGGTGCAAGTTGGGCGGCAGAAACAAAGAACACTCTCTATCTCACCTGCTTTCCATGTTATATATATTCACCTGGCCACTGCTCTGCCTGTAGTTCCCAGTAGCTGGTACAACGTGACCGCATATAAATAGCAACATGGTACCTTCCTTAACTATTTCACATCCTTTCTTTACTTTCAGCTCCATTTATTGCTCTTTTCTTAATATAAATCCTCTAAGGAATTCTTTGTGCTCTCATTCCCAATTCCTATTTTGTATGCTTTCTTCAGTTTATTCCAAGAGGCCTATTGTGCCTTCCCCAAGATACTCTGATTCGTGTCAGCAGTGATTTCTAGGTGTTGATTATTTTCAATCCTTTATTGTAGTTTATCTGTTGGCAACTGCTGACATATTGTGCATTTTCTTCTTTGTGGTGTGTTTTTTCAATTAATTTCTAGTACATCTCTCTCTTCTTGGTTTTCCTTCTTCCTCATTGGTTGTTCGTTCTGCCTTCCAGATTTCTTATTGTTGAAGTGCTCCATGATTCAAACTTTGGTTTTATTTCCTCTGTATATACTTTCTTGTGATGACAGCAACTCTCAGTGACTTTACCATTTGTATATTGAAGACTCTTACTTCATATTCCTTGTCACCTATCTTCTTGAACTCTAAATTCACATGTCCATTTGTCTATGTCGACATTTCCACTAGTTTATTTAAAGATATCTCAGGCATACGTGTTCCAAATTGAACTCCTCATTCCAAGGAGCATTCTTTCTCATCTCTGTTATCCCAATCTTTCTCATGTCTGTGACAACCACTCTATGTAGCCAGTGGTTCAAAATTAAATATTTGGAGCCCTTAACTCTTTAATTTTTCTTATATTCTGTTAAATCTATCAGCAAATTCTATTACTTTCTCTGTAAAATATACCTGGAATATATTTTCTTCCTACAATTTCTGCTGTTAGTTTAATGATGATATCTTGCTTGCATGTCTGCTATTAGCCACATAATTTCCTGCTTGGATTACAGGAGGTGTTCTGGTTGGTCTCCCTTCTTTCTCCTTGTCTCGCTATAGTCTATTCTCATAAAACTACTAGAGTGATACCTTTAAAATGCAAGCAAAAGTTATAATGTAAGATTCTAACTACAACTGGGCCTCCCTGGTGGCGCAAGGGGTTGGTTCAGCACTGCACTTTGAGGCAGTCCACAGCCTCTCCAGAACAAGTTTGATCCCTGGCCGGCCAGAGAGAAACCCACATGACGAAGCAGAGCTCTCCTGTCTCGCCCACTGCACCCCTCAGCAGTGTATTTCAGTCAGTCTGCCTGTCCTGTTCCCCACTCTGTCTCTGGTGAATCCTCTCACCCCTGCATCTCTGGCCTGTATCCCAGCTCTTGCACGCATAAGTAAATCTTTAAAAAAAAAAAAAAAAAAGATTCTAACTGCAACTTGTTATCCTAGATTGGATCCTGGAATAAGACAAAATATATTAGTGGAAAAACAGATAAAATTCAGATAGTTCAGTAGTAATAGTAATGCAGCAATGTTGGTTTCTTCATTTTGATAAATGCACCACAGTAATTTAAGATGTTGATATTAGAGGACACTGGGTGACAGGTATAAACGAACTGTATTCTCTTTGTAACTTCTGTAAATTCATTACTGCTCCAAAATAAAGTGTTTATGTAAAAAGAATGTAACATGACTTCTTTGCTTAAAAACCTTTTATGGCTTCTCATTTGATTCACTGTAAAAGCGAACATCCTTTTATTGGCATGCAAGACTCAAAATGATCTGGTTTTCTGTTACTCTCTAACCTTATCTCTCTTTCTTTAAAAAAGATTTATTTTATTTATACAAGAACCGGGGTACAGGCCAGATGCGTGGGAGTGTGAGAAGATTCACCAGAGACAGAGAGGGGAACAGAACAGGCAGACTGATGAACTATACTGCTGAGGGGAGCAGCGGGCAAGGCAGGAGAGGTCTCCTGCATCAAGTGGGTCACCTCTCTGGCAGGCGAGGGATCGAACTCATTCTGCAGTGACTGGTGATAGCTTGATAGAGCTTAACCCCTGTGCCACCAGGGAGGCTCCTTGGATATTTGAATTTGTAATCCTTGATTTGCAGTCAGTGTTAAACATTGACTTGTTTATTGTTTCCATATATCCTGTTATTTCTTGCCTCCAAGCCTTTACTTATGCAGATTCTTTTGCCTGGAATGACTTTCCTTATCTTTCTTCTTCTATTCCTCAATCTTTTTCACCCATCCATTTCCCTTTTAAGATTCATATCAGATGTAAGTCAAGGATGCCTTCCTTGAATTGTCAGGGGACTTATGTACTGCTTTTCAGAGGAGCTCCCACCTTTCTCTGTGCTTAATAAGCTTGTAAAAATAATTCTCTTTGGGTTTTTCTATCTTACTAGAGAACTGGGAATGCATCCTATTTACCATGGGATATGAAAGCATGGTACATAGGAAGTACTAAATGATTGTTTTAATGCATGATTGGCATGACTAAAGTCACTCAACTATGAAGCAGTAGAATTTTCAGTTCAAGCTGCATCTTCTGAGTATAAAATCAATGCTTTACTTTTGCTATAGTTTGTTTTTAAGGAAAATAATAGAAGGATAGTCCTTTGTATGTGAGTGGGAGTTACAAATGTGCTTTATAGCCCTTGGTCATTTGCTCCTTGTCATTTGTGAGGCCACCAACACTGATGTGAAAGTGAGTTGTGCTTTTTTCTGAGACACTGGCTAATATCCTAGAACAGGGGGTTATTATAATTAGCAAACTTTTAATGTTGATAAAATTGGACAGTTTTAGAGAGAAAAACACTATTGAGGCTTTTGTTGCCCTAAAGAAGAAATCCCTGCTGGAATTCCATACTGCTCAAGAGGCAGTTGCCACTAGTGCCCATATACATACTGTTAAACTTTTACTTCAGTGCTCTTGGGAAATTCCAGGGCATTTACAAGATATTGTGAAGATTTTCTCCCAATACTATGGAAATTTTTACTTAAGGCTGAATTAACGATGGTTAGTTTGTTTATATGATACTTGGCACAAAAATTAGGTGACTTAATTTTGCATTTAAAACACTCTTCAATCCTAGAAAATGTGCCAGAGATCCTAACTGCCTTTTATCTTTGGCATTCTGAATTCAAACTGCCCTCTGTATTTCATTATCATTGGTGCAGTCTATATGCCAGTTGATTCTAACTGCCTAATGTTCAGGACTATCAAAATAGGAAGTAAATTTAAAAATTCTGAAAAGACTTCAGTATTAGTAATGTGGTTGAAATGATTAGACTTGGGGTTGATTTAAGTGATAAAGAGCAAGTATTTCTTGGATGACAGTCTTTGCATTTGTGCCTTGTTTCCAGAGCCTTGCTAACCCTGCAGAAGTAACCAAAATGTTGAAATAAGCAAGGAACTTCAGCTGTCGTTTGTATGAGAAGATGCAATAGCTTGTTTGTAATTTTATCTGAACTGTTAATTTTATTTTATTTGAACAATTAAAAATTTTAGTTCTTATGAAAGATCTTGCTCAATTGGAACAGAAGCAAGTGACTGCTAAGAAATA